CACACACACACACATGCACACACCTCCAGTGTCAACAAGGCCTACGAGTTCCTGGTGTCCTTCTCGGCCAAGACGGCCGACGGCCCGACCCCCCTCAACATCGAGACCATCATCCGGGCCCAGTCGATCCTCTTTGCTCGCTATGGCCCGGCCCTGTCGCCGTACAAGTATGCCGGGTACCCGCTGCTCATTAAGACCATGCAAATGGAGACGGCCGATGAGAAGCTCTTCTCCCGGTCGCTGTCCTTGCTGCCCTCGGCCGCCGAGCTGGCCTTCCACACGGTCAACGTGTCGGCCCTCAATGCGCGGGAGCTCCTCCGCGAGGGCGGCTTCGATGTGGCCTCCGACGCCTTCATCCGGTGCATGGACATCATCGGCCTGACCACGCAGGAGAATGACATCGCCGCTGTCACCTCGACGCACTTGATGCGCATGTTCGCCGTGTCGTCGCTCTTCGACGACTGCTGCGCCGCCATCGTCGACCGGGACAACGTCGTGCGCAATGTGGCCCTGGCCTTGCGCTTTGTCAACATCCCGCGCATGCGTGTGGCCGCCATCGAGTCGTGCATCTACTTTGCCCGGAATGCCAGCCTGCAGAATGCCCTGGCTCGCCATGGGGCCATCTGGCACCTGATCCCCATGCTCTTCAAGTATGATTACACCCTGGCCGAGAGTGGCGTCGAGACGTCCATCGAGCACAGCTTCCAGCAGACGGCCAACCACTGCGCGGTGCTGGCCCTGCGTGCGCTCGGCCGCCTGGGTGGCTACCTGACCGGCATCATCTCGCTCAAGGTACGTGCCCGCCGGCTGCCCTTGTCACACTGTCATCCTCCCGCCCCCGGCCCCCCTCTTCACATGCTCACACACGCACACATGCACGCACACACACGCACACACACACACACACGCACACACACACACACACACACACAGCGCGAGGTCACCGAGAGTGTTCACACCGGCGTGAATGTGATCGAGGGTGCCACCACCGCCTCCGGCGAGCTGGTCGCCGCCGGCCAGACCTTCGCCTCCATGCCGGAGGATGGCAGCTCGGAGTTCGCCTCCATCCATGCGTACAACATGAAGGGCTTCGCCGAGATGGACCTGACCAGCCCCAGCAACTTGCCGATCCGCGCCGGGCTGGAGAGCCTGCTCACTTGGTACCTGTCGCATCAGCTGTCCAACGAGTCGGCCTCCGAGGCGCTGAAGATGCTCACCAGCAATGCCGAGAACCCGTACCTCATTTGGAACAACTCCACCCGGGTGGAGCTGCTGGACTATGTCCAGACCCAGCTGGACGCCATGGAGCGTGGCGGCGGGGCCGACCCCAGCCACGGGGCCAACTTCCACTTCCGCGACCTGCGGGATGAGCTCTACGTCGGGCACATCTATGTGCGCATCTTCAACAAGGACCCCACCTTCATCATCGAAGACCCGCCGGCCTTCATGCAGGCTCTGGTCGGGCACTTGCGCCTGTCGGCCGAGGTTCTCTTCCGGGCGCAGCAGCTGCAGAAGGCCGCGGCGGCCGGGGTGTCGCCGCCACCGACCCCGGCCCCGGCCACCCCGGGCATGGCCGAGGAAACCCCGGAGGATCTCACCCGCCGGGCGGCCACGGCCGTCGGCGAGTCGCGGCAGATTCTCCTTGCCCTGTATCACCTGCTGTCGTTGTCGACCTCGCAATCGACGGTCATCGGGCAGACCAGCGTGCCGGCCATCGCCGAGGAGCTGCTGACCGTGTCGCGCTTCAAGCTGCTCTTCTTCTTCCTGAGCATCGACTCGGACAATGCGTCCACCTCGGCGGACATCACCCTGCCGGATGTGCCGGTCCCGGTGGTGGCCCTGCGGGCCATCGAGCGGACCATCTCCAGCCGGGCTTGCATCACGGCCATCGCCGAGGCCGGGGTCCTGCACAATGCCCTGGTGCTGATTGCCAAGATGGAAGTGGCCTTCCTGCCGGTGCTGGACCTGCTGCATGGGCTCTTCTCCAATTCCAAGCTGGTGGAGGAGGCCCTGCGCAAGGGTGGCCTGCTGTATCTGTTGCACTTGATTTGCAACTCGAAGAATGGCCAAGTTCGGACATCGGCCGCCGCGGTGCTCGGCAAGATGTCCTCGGACAAGCTCCACGGGCCGCGGGTGGTGCTGCTGGTCAATCGCTTCCTGCCGCCGGTGTTCATGGAGACCATCCGGGAAAATCCGGAAACCGCGGTGCTCACCTTCGAGCGGGATGACGAAAACCCGGAGCTCATCTGGACGGCCGACATGCGCAAGTACATCCAGACGTCCATTCGCCGGCAGTGCCGGGCCTTCTTCAATTTGCAGAATGGCGATCTCAGTGGGGCGGTGTGGCAGCCGCCGGCTGACGATGCGCCGCCCCTCTACGAGGAGGCGGCCATGGCCGCCGGCGGGGAGGGCGGCCTGCCGGAGGTGTGCGTTGGCGGGGTGTTCCTGCGGCTGTTCATCCGCCAGCCCAACTGGGGCATTCGCAATCCCAAGCACTTCCTCAATGCCCTGTTTGAGCGGTTCTTCACCGAAGCCACGGAGCAGGCGGTGGCCGAGCCGCTGGCGCTCATCGGCGCCGCGGTGGCCCTGCTCATCCGGTCGCAGCCCATCCTGGCCCCCTACCTGGCCGGGTTGGATTACATGAAGCGCGTGTTTGCCATCATGCGCTCGTCCACCAACATCCATGTGCTCGAGGCGGCCGTCATCATTGCCAATGAGACCTGCTCGCATGCGTCCTGCCTGGAGGCCATGGCCGGCTTCCCGACCGTGGCCCCGCTGCTGCATGTGGCCGCCCAGTCGCTGGACCATGTGAACCTGGTGGCCGACACCCTGCGCCTGATGTTCGAGGTGGAGTTCGCCAACAACCGCGGGTCCTTCGGCCAGCAGGCCCTGGAGACGCGCCTGGTGGCGGTCTTCCTGAAGTTGCTGCAGGAGCCGCTGGCCGTGCAGGAGGGCGCCGCCGCCATCAAGGCCCAGATTGTCCGCTGCCTCAAGGCCCTGTCCAATGACCCGGTCCATGGGGCCACGCTGCAGGAGCAGCTCAATGCCTCGGAAGTGTGGCTCAACTACCGGGACCAGCGCCACGATCTGTTCCTCACGCAGGATTCCGTGCGCGGGCTCATCAGCGGCCCGGCCTCCGGCAACAAGGGCCTGCTCACGGGCGCCGTTGGCGGGTCGCCCATGTCCCGCGCCACCGGCGGCAACATCACCTCCGCCTCGTCGTCCTCCTCGGCCTCCACTGTCGGCATTGCCGGGCGCCTGACCAACACCGCCCACAACCTGGCCTCCACCGTGCCCCCGGCCAGCATCGACCACTACGATGACGAGCTGATCTGATGGTGGGTGTGTGGAAGTGTGTATCCTCTCCCTTCTTCCCCTCTTCCCTCCGTGCGTGTGTTGCTCACACATGCACAGGCACACATCGCTGCTCCCTCTCTCTCTCTCCTTCCTGTTGGCTCCCTCTGCAATAGAACATTCCTCTTCTCATGTGTGTGTACATATGTGGGGGGGGGGGGGGGGGGCGTAGACCAACGGCCCTGCCTGACACACGGTCGGCCACATGCCGCGCTCCCCTGCGCAGGAACACGGGTGGGGACGCGAGCCAACGCATAGCCCCGCCCTTTCCCCTTCTTCCGCCCCATGCGCACACACACACAAACACACACACACGTCGGCCACACACACTTCAATTATTTTGGGCAGGGCGAAGAGAGGAAAGAAAAAAGGGGGGGGATGTTCCGCCGATAATAGTGCTGGGAATCGGTGGGAAACCGGCGACGCCAGCGTGGAGTAGCGGGATTGCTGTGGCTCAGAAGCGAACCAGCTCACATTCCGTGTCTGAGTGGCCAGCTCGACGCACAGCGCCTGGGAAGGTCAGAAGTGCGCCGGGACCGGCATTTGGAATGCAAAGGTACTCCCCGCGAGGCAGTCTAACCACCGCGCAGGGAACTCCCGAGCATGGAAAAACGCCCTCAGGAGGCCCGGCCGGCCGGCCACCCGGCCCCCGGTGCCCCCTGCGCCCGGCCCCGGCCGGCGCGCGCGCCAACCTGCGCCCGCAGATTCCCGACCCCGTGGCCACGTCAGCCGGTCGGCGCCACCCTCGCCCCGGCCCAAGAGTCGGCACCTGACACGATGGCCCCGTCCACACGCCCCCCCTCCGGCCCGCCGCAGGGGGGAGAGGCAAGCCGGGAAACCAGCCGCGATCTGACAACCGGCCGGCTGGCGGCCGCGGGTGGCCGGCCGTCGGCATGCCAACCCCGGCTCCCCCCCCCTGCACCCCGGGCCGTGCGCAGGCAGGGAGATCCAAATCTACGCGCCGTGCGGGCCTGCTGGTCCCCGCCGCCGCGGCCATCCCCTTCACTGCAAGGCGCGCTGGTGTCCGGAAAGAGAGAGAGAGAGAGGCGCTCTGCTAACGCACGGCCGCACGATCTGTCCCCCCCCCCCCCCCCCCCCCCCCCCCCCCCCCCCCCCCCCCCCCCCCCGCCCCCCCCCCCCCCCACCTCATCCCCGTCCCCTTCGCCTCCACCCTGCTGCCCCCTCCCCTTGCCTTGCCTTCCCGCTTTCCGCCACCCCTGTCTGCACCCCTCTGTCTGGGCGCCTCTCGAGCCGAGAGCCCGAAGGAGCGGCACGTCCCGGCCCGCGCACCCCCTGCCCAGCGAGCATGAGCGTGCCGCCCGACTCGCCGCCCCCGCCTGCCGGTTCGTCTTCTGCCCTTCCCCCCCCCCCCCCCCCCACCCACCCACCCTCGCCGCCCCCGCCCGCCCGCCGTATCGCCATATCTCACGCACGCATGCGCACACATGCATCACCCCATGCTTGCCAGACAACCCGGCGCCGGTCAACCGGGCCCTCGCCCTGGCCATGGGCCTGGAGCCCCTTGCCGCGGGGCGGTCCACAACCACGGCCGGTGCCCTTGCCCTGCGCACCCCGGCCCCGGCTGAGCGGGCCCCCATGCCCGACCCGGATGCCGGCCAGTCGTCCATCAGCCTGCATGACGCCCTCTCGGAAGTGAACTCCCTCAAGAGCATCCTCCAGAATGCCCAGGCCCGGCGGCGGCAGTCGGTCGACCACAACCTTTCCCCCCTTGCAGCGGTATTGGCCGGCGTCATCCCCCCGGCCTCCCCGCAAGTGGCCCGGAGCCCGCTGGCGAACATGATGGTCGCGCCGGCCCCGGCCCCGGCCCCGGCGCCCGGCCCCGCCCCCCGGGTGGCCGACTCCCCGCCGGCCGGCGTCCTCCCGTGTGCCGCCAGCATCCCCCACGACGCGGTTGAGGGGCTGGACGAGTTGGATCAGTTGACCATCGACTTGATGGACTCCTCGCCGGCGACCCCCGCCAAGCCTCCCCGCGTGCCGACGCTGATCGATCTCTCCCGCTTGGTGCAGGCTGATGGGCGCCCGCCATCGCCGGTGACCGTGCCGATTGCCCCGCCGCCGGGGCCACTCGCGGCCCGGCCAGCCGCCGCTACACCCGCCGCCGAGCCCGGCAACACCCGGGGCGCCGCGTCGACGCCGATGGCCGCTGCCCCGCCAGTGGCCGTGCCGGTGGTCTTAGCGGCTGCCACGCCGGTTGCCGGTCCGGCCCCCAATGCTACCGGTGCGGCTGTGGTCGTGCCGCTGACTGCGTCCGCATCCGACTCGCCGCCCGGGCTCACCTCCTCCCCGGAGGATGCCCTCGAGTTAAGCACGTCCCCCGAGCCGGCTCCCAGCTCCGAGTCGATGGCCCTTGCTCCCGGTGCTGCAGCCGACCCGGGGTCCAGGACCACCGTCGGCCCTCGGCCCGAGCCTGATAGCCCTCGCACTCCTGAGCCGGTGGAGGCGCCGGCCCCGGGGTTAGCCCCGGATTCGCCTGTCATCCTGACCAGCGGCTCCGACTCCGACTCCAGCGATGAGGCCATCGTCCTGTCGGACTCGCCCGAGGCCGGCTTCTCCGATTCGGACCCCGAGGAGCAGGCCCCGGCCGCCAGGCCGGTCACCTTCAAGCGCCCGGCCTCCCTGCCCACCGCGGCCGCCTCGGCGCCCGTCATCAAGAACCCCCCTCCGGCCAGGAAGTCCTCCATCTCGTCGACCCTCGCGGCCGTACGTCTCTCCTCGGGCGCGGATGTGCTCGCCACTGCCCGCGTTCGGCCACCTGCCCATCCCCCGCCCCCTGACCAATGCACCCGACCCCGGTCCCCGTAGCTCTATGGCACCTCCTCGCCCAGCCGCCCGAGTGTTCCCCTCCCCCGGCCCGCGGCAGGCTCATTGAGCAAGACGACCGCCATGCTGCGTGCCTCGCTCCAGCCCTCGAGGCCCATGGCCACGCCCCTCTTTTCGACGGGCGGACCGGCTGCCAGGTATCCCCCTTCCCCGGCTTGTCTGGCGAGAGACCCATTGTCCAAAAAAACACCTGACCTTCGCTTGCAACTCCCTCCCCCCTCCAGCTGCCTCATTCGGGCCCCCTCCACCACGGAGAACTCCACCGAGGATGAGGAGTTCTGGGAGGCGGTCCTGACCCTGCCGATGGACTGTCTGATCTTCCGCAAGGAGCCCGCCCTGCCGGCGGAGCTGGCCAAGCCCCCTCGCACCATTCCCTCCGTGTACATGCCCTGCCTCCTCCCTCTCGCTCGCTGTCACTCTGACGCCAAAGACGCAGTTAACACTGACGGACATTGCCCATTGGTGCAGCTTCCACTCGATACGCCAGTATCTGGACTACTTCCTGCCGCTCTTCCTGCACGAGACCCGGGCCAACATCTGCATGACGCACTACCCAAAGCCGGACTTGTACGTGCCGACTGCCGGCCACCGTTGCTCCCTGCCGGCCGCCGGCGTGCGTTCCTGCTCGCTGACCCTCAGGGCTGGTCCTCCTGCTCCCTTTTTTTTTTTTCCCCGCGCGCGCGTGCACCAGCTTCCCCGCCAAGATTGTGTCCTCCCCCCGGGGGAAGAAGTTCGACAATGTGGTCATCCACTGCCCGAAGATCCTCAACCAGGTGTCGGAAATGGACCTGGTCATTTTGACGCCGCATGGCGCCTCCAGCCACCGGCAGCAGCGCGCCAACCATGGCATCCTGCTGGCCATCCTGCGCATCAGCAATGAACGCAGCCAGATCGAGTGCCGATCGATCTTCGGCAAGCTCGGCCCCAATTACAGCATGCAGAAGTGGGAGATTTCCCGCCTCCTCTCGGTGGTCGCCTTCTTTTTGGAGTACCGCGCGCTCAAGGTCCCTCTGCCCTGGGCTTCCTTCCATTTTGCCTTTTGCCCCCTTCGTTGATGGCCACCCGGCGGGGCATGTGCCTGTTGGCTGACCCGGTCCTCATCATGCCTGCCCTCCCTGGCTCTTCGCCTCCGACTCCCTGCTCTCTCTCTCTCTCTCTCTCCCATGTACACATGTGCGTCGCAGAATTTCGCCGTCGACCGCCAGCTGGAGATGCAAATCCTCGGCAAGGCAGGCCGTGCCCCTGCCCTGGTTAAGTATCGCTACCCGGCGCAGGAGCGCCGGGGTACCGCCTCCGGCGACACCGATGACCCGGTGTTCAATGCCTCACAGGTGGCCGCCATGGAGGGGGCCATCAACAGCACCGGGCTCATGCTGATTCAGGGCCCGCCGGGCACCGGCAAGACGCGTGTCATCAAGGAGCTCATTTGTCAGATGCTCAACAGCAGCCGGTCAAACACCATGAAAATCCTGGTCTGCTCTCACTCCAATGTGGCGGTCGATGAGGTGATGCTTCGGCTGCTGTGCGTTCCTCCCCCGCTGGTGTTGAACACTCGCCTCGCGTTTGTCCTTCCTCCTTGGCTCCTCCCTCCGTCTCATCCTCCTGTGCATGCTTGACTCCGCCCATGGCGATGGCATCGTCATCCCCTTGTCTTACCTGCCCACATGGCTGGCTCCCCTTTCTGACCTCCCTCTCGGGCATCGCGTCCAGCCGGAGCAACAGCGACCTGACGCCCATTCGTGTTCTCGGGCAGGAGGCCATCAACACGGTCCATCAGCAGATCCGCGACAACAGCTTGGATGAGCTGCTGAGGCAGATGAATGTCGGTATGTTGCGGGGGCTTTGTGCGCGAGCACTATTCCGCGGGACAGGGGGGGCGGGGGGGGCTCTTTCCCTTGTGCAGGGCATGCCACTTACTTTGGCCCTGTGTCCCTTTTGCCCTTCGACCAAATGGCCAGAGACGCGCAAACTCCACTGGAAGCAGGATCTCCTGCGTCGGAGCCGTGTCATTTGCAGGTATGTCCCGGCCACCCTTCACCGACCCTGTGGCCGGCCCTCCTCCCGATCCCTGCCGCTCGTGCCCCATCACACTCACCGTGCCCCAGTACCCTCAACCTGCTCGGCTCGGATGTCTTTGACGAGCTGGCCCGTGGGACCACCTTCGACGCGATCATCGTCGATGAAGCGGGCCAGGCCACCGAGCCCAGTGTTCTGATGGCCCTGCGCTTTAAGTCCCGACGCTTTATCCTGGTTGGCGATCCGAAGCAGCTGCCAGCCACGGTTTTGTCGCATAACCTGAGTGTGCGCACGCAAACCCACATGTCCTCCTTTCTCTCTCTCTCTCTCTCTCTCTCTCTCTCTTTCCCCGCATACATGCCCATTTTGCAACATCCAATGCCCTCTGTGTCTGACTCGGCGCGCATTTCTCGCCTTCTTGCCTCCGCCACTGGTGTCCCTGTGCGCCCTGCTGCTGGGCCCCGCCTGCTACACAGCCCTTCCGCTTCGAGCGCAGTATCTTCGAGCGCCTGGATGCCATTCGTCCGGATGAAACCTACTTCCTGGATGTCCAGTACCGCATGCACCCGGAGATCTCGTCCTTCCCTTCGCGGACTTTCTACAACGGCAAGCTTCGCGACTCGTCGCTGGTGATGTGCGCTCGCCCCCCTTCCCGGCCCCATGGACCACATTCCACACCTGCCCATCCCCCTCTCCCCCCCCCCCCGGCCCTTCTCTTCCTGACTCCCTTGCCACACGCCCACCTGCATCCCCCACGCACGCATTCACATGCGCATGCGCCGTCCCGTCCGCAGCTCCCGGCCTGGCTTCATCAACCACCCGCTCTTCACCCGGCCATTCGTCTTCATCGATCTGCCTGGCCAGGTGCGTGTGCATTTCCCGTCTCCCTTGCATTTCTCTCAGCCCGCTCCGCTCCTCTCCCCGCCCCCCCCCCCACATACACACACACACACACACACATGCACATCACCCCACAGTCTCCCTGTCGACGATGTCTCACCCCCCTCCCCCCTCCCCCTTCCCTCACCCCATCCTCACGCGCGCAGGAACATCGCAACGTCGGCTCCCACTCGCGCATCAACGCCAAAGAAGCCCAGGCCATTCGCATCATCATCGAGCGCCTGGCCTCGGCGCTGGACTTCTCGATCGCCGATCACGTTGGCATCATTACCCCCTACAAGGACCAGGTGTTCGAGATCCGCGCACAGCTCCAAATGAATCCGGACCTGGGGGACATCGAGGTGAACACGGTCGACGGGTTCCAGGGCCGGGAGAAGGACATCATGCTGCTCTCCTGCGTGCGGGCCACCATGCGGGGAAACCCGTCGGCCGACTCGCTGTCCTTCGTGGCCGACCAGCAGCGCCTGAATGTGGCCCTCACCCGCGCGCGTTTCATGCAAATCGTTGTCGGCCACATTGACACCCTGAGGAGCCACGGCCTGTTGCGCGAGTTGATTGATGACGCCACTCGGCGCAAGGCCATCATGACATGGGCCCCGGAGCCGGAGGCACCTCGCCGCTCGCCTGCCGGGCCCTCGAACGCCGCGCCCCCGCCATCCTTGCCGCCGGTCAATGTGCCGGCCGGCGGGGCGTCTGCGCCCGGCCCGACACCCGGGCATGCTCTTTCCCCGCATCCGACCTACTTGCCGCCTCCCGGAGGGGCTCGTGTGCCGATCTTGCCCCCGCCTCCGGGCATGGGCCCCGGTCCAGGACGGCCACCAGGCGCACCCCTCCTTCCCCCGGCCCCGGCGTCGGGCATGCCGTCTCTGCCCCCGCCTCCCGGTGCCATTCCCCTGTTGCCGCCGCCCACGCCGGGTTCCTGGGCCCCTGGGCCACCGGACTACCGTCGCCCTCCCCCTGGTGGAAAGAGGGCCCACCACCCCCCTTACCACCACCACCACCACCAACGTCCTCGCGGTGGCGAGCCGGAGCATCCGCACTTCAAGCGCCATCGGCACTGATTCTCGCGCGTCTTCCCCCGCCCTTCCGGGTCCTCTCCTCCTCATCCCCAACCCTCCCCCCCCCTCCTCGGCGTTCGGCAACAGCCACGACCGGAGTTCACGTATAGACCTGGCGCGCGCCCCACTCGCGTGTCGCCGCCTCCCCCCCCCCCCCCTCGTCATCCCCCTTTCCGTTGAAATGCTGGGACATGCTCGCAGGATATGGCTCCAGGGGAGGGGATCCGCACTTGCGGCCTGGAATGGGTGTGTCCATTACTTGGGGGTGATCTTCCCCTCCTCGACCAGGAGTGGGATTTCAACCGACAGCCAGGGCTTGAGCTGGGTTGGGGCGGGAAGGAGGCAGGGCAGGAGGCGACGGAACATGTGGGGATGGCAAAGAAGGTTAGGCTCTGATGCGCTGGAGGGGGCGACAAGCAGCGGGGGGGACATACGCCGAGGGTGAGCGCGTGGGCGATGCCAAACTTCGGGGCATTCTTCCGCCAGAGCGGCTCAAAGTGGGAACTCGTGCAAATGAGGCCGTTGCTTCGGGATGCAAGGGGATGAGAGTAGCCCAGCCAAATGCCAGGGGTGGGGGCGGGGCAGAGAGAGAGAGAGAGAGAGGGGGGGGGACCGGCAGGGGGTGAGTGGAATGTCGGGGCAGGGGGTACAGCAACAGGAGGCCGAAGTGACTGGTGCACGCACCGGTACATCTTCACCGAGAGGCCGTCCAGCTCGGGGATTCGGATCTCCGGCGGGGAGAAGGGGTACGAGATGGAGAGTACCAGCTCGATGGCGAAGGAGTACCGCACGCTGTTGTGGATGTGCCAGGCCGTGCCGGTCCAGCTGGAGAAGACGGTGATTAGTGGGGGACGATGGGAAGGCAGCCCCATCGAGGAAATGCAACATGACGCAACAGGGCAAGAGGCCACGCACATGGTCCCGGCCTCATTGGCCTCGATGGAGAAGAAGTCTGCATCGGACTCCTTGTTGAAGTTCACGAGCTGGTGGTCAACCGGAGGGGGCGCGAACAAGAGCCGCCAGGGGGGTGAGCGGAGGTACACTTGCATGGCACCCTCAGAGGTGCTAGGGCCGTTGCATCGGGCGGATCGCGCGCACCTGAATCAAGGACTGGTACTCCTCGGCCAGACGGTTCGGCCACTGGTCGAGCTCCAATGGCCCGGCCCGGCTGGTCAAAAGCGACACCTTCTCGACCTCCTTCTGTGAAAAGAGCCAGCCGAAAGCAGGCACGAGAGTGGGCGGATACGGAGGAGACCACCAGGGGGAGAGGGGGGACAGGTCAGCGTGCGCGGGAGGACACAGGGGGAGAACGGGAAGTGGCGCCGGCCGGGACTGACCTTTGTCTGGCTATCAATCATGATGAAGCGCGGATCAGGAGTAGACGCCGAGCGATGGGGGATGGATGGGGGGAGAGACCGGGACGGAGAGCGATGGCGAGGTGGCGAGGTGGCGAGGTGGCGAGGTGGCGAGGTGGCGAGAGGGGAGGGGGCTAGACAAAGTGGACACGGGTCCAGGCGGAGGGGGACGGCGAAACACGGGCACGGCAACTGCCCCAGGCCTCCGGTCCCGATCGCCGCCCAGGACGGGCGCCCTTTTGTGGTCCACGCCTACGTTGGCATGTGGCGCACCTTGGCCTCTACCCCACAACATATACGGCTGCTCGCCCGCTGCCCCCCCCCCCCCCCCCCCAGGTGTGCACCCAGGGAACACACGAATGAAGCACAAACAACGCGAGGAGGGGGAGATAGAGGAGGTGCATGCGAAGTACATTGGTTGGACCCTCGACCAGCCCCTCGTCCCGACCAAGGACAGAGGACCACAAGAACGGCGAGGGGGGGGGGGGGGAGGAGAAGGCCACAGACGCAAGTGTTGGCCCAGCACAGGGGGGGCGGCGCGGCGAGGTACCATGCAACTGGATTGGCACACTCATGCACTGGTCTGCTGTTGGCCTCATCCGGGGCGCGGGGCGCGGGGCGCGGGGCGCGGGGCGCGGCGAGGAAGAGAGGTGCCGGGACGGGGCGCGGCAGCTCGGGCACAGAGGCAGGCAGCTACTTGAGTCGGTGGGTGATCTGCTTGAGCTTCTCCTTGTGACGGACCGCGCGCACGGTGATGTCCCCGAGCGCGCTGTTCTGACGGTCCAGCTCCAGGCCCAAGCCGATGGAGGCATCGCGCAGGGCGTCCAGGCAGCCGGACACCGTGTCCAGGCCCTCGTCAATGTCGCGGTTGGACCGGGCCAACAAATCGCCGGCCTCGTTGGTTGGACGCCGAGACCCGGCCTCAGCGATGGCCAGCGCCTTCATGGAGCTGACCTGAGCTGCGCGGGTCCCCGGCCGGGGGACCTCCGTCAGGTTGCCAGCTCGGCCGGCCGCCTTGGAGGCCGCCGGGGCGCCGCCGGAAGAAGAGGACAGCTCGCCGGAGCTGGAACGCTTGCTGCTCCGGCGGAAGACCCCGCGCCAGAAGCTGCTGACCTTCTTCGAATCGCGGTCCGCGTCCACCAACATGCCTTCCATTTCGTCCTGCATGCCGGAAATCCGGTCGATTTGCTCTGTTTCCCGGACCCGGCCGATGCACATGCGGAGAGGGTCAGTGCGGCGCAAGGGGGGGAGGGAGGGGGGGAGCGGGCGAAGGACAATGCGGCAAGCCGGGCTCTGGGGAGGGGAGCGATCGCTGGCACACAGAAGAAAAAAAACAGGACACCCGACACCCGACACCGCCACACGCATGCCCAGACACATCGGCGTGCGGAGGGGGCGCGGCCAAAAAAAAAAAAAGAAACACGCACCGCCCTGCTGGTACAGGTTCTTCGACAGGTTGACCGCCACCTTGGACGTCTCGTTGATGGAGGCCACCATGCGAGAGGTGCTCTCGCGCGACTCGCTCAGCATGGACTCCGATTCGGCACGCTCGTCGGCCGTCAGCAGGGTGTTGGCCCAGACTATGCCGTTGGCGCGGCCCGATGGCGCCCCAGGCCAGCCGGGCCCGGGGGCCCCCGGGCCCTGTCGCCCCGCCGCGGCCAACGAGCCGGAGCCCGACGCCGAGGCGGCCAACGCGTCGGAGGAGGCGCCGCCGCCGCTGCGACCGACCACACACGAGTAGGACCGCGTGATGGACAGCCCGTCGTCCACGCTGTAGGAGCTGCACTCGGCGGTCAGGTCGCCGGAGGCCGATGCCTCGGCCCCGCCTTTGCGGAGACTGGAGCCCATCTTGTTTCGCGTGCGTTGGAGGGCCTTGCGCAGGAGCTGCGACGACCCGGATCGAGAAAGCTCGGACTCCCTTGCCCGGGCTTTGGGCGTGACGGACTTGGCTCGGGCAAGCTGACTGGACGAGGCAGACGCCGAGGGCGAGGGGTGCTGCTGTGCTTGGTGCAGGCTCAGGCCACTGGCCGACCGGGAAACAAGGCCCTCCGGGGCTGCTGGCTGCGCGGGCCGGGCGTCGTACACACTCAGCCGGTGGAGGGAGGCCGAGGAACCGGGGCCTTGGGCGAGGCTGCCACGCGACAGTGAAACACCGAGGGCAGACTCCTTACGCGCGGGGTCAGCCTTCTCCGGGCGGAAATCGGCCGGATCGCGTTCTTGCTCGGCACGCCGCCAGTCGGGAAGAGCCGCTGGCCGGGGGGGATGGCGGCGGTCGTCGTCGCTCGAAGTGGAACCAGTAAAGCAACTTAGGAGCGATTCAATCCAGGGATTGCAGCAGTCCATTCCACGATGGAGGCCAGGGGAAAGGACGGCGGATGATGCCGGTGAATGGCAACGGCGGGGTTTTTTCTAGATCGGGGCTGGGAGGACCCGAGGCAAGAGTGCGTGTGTGTCCTTCACACGGCGACGAGGCAAGCGCAAAGGTCAGGCTGCATGGGCGGGGGGAGGCGAGGCACAGAGAGGGTGAAAAGCCGGAGGGGGGAGGGGAGGAGGGGGGGGGGGGGGGGCATACGCTGGAAAATGTGTAGGAAGTATTTGAAATGCCCCAATCTCGGACGAGGGGGCCTCGCCAGGGGGTCCCTCAAAAGGGCCCAGCACCCTGCCGTGATTATTTGTGCGGCCCCCCTCCTCTGTTGTCGCCGCACCGGCGCCCCGTTGGGGTGGGAGGGCGATCGTGCGGCCCGCATGCTCCGGGGCCCGGTGGAATGCTGGGGCACTCCGTCCGGATTGCAGCGCCACGGGGCGAGGAGGGCGCGCTCTGCGTACCGGTGCGTGCCGTGGCTCCTGCCGCCCATTCCAAAAACACGGATCACCGGGCTCGGGGGAAGGGCGACGAAGACCGCCGAAGCAGCGGCAGACACACGGACAGCCGGGGCGGGTAAACATGCGCGCGCACGCTTCCCGCGGGCAAGCCCAATGCGGATGTTTACTCCGCCTCGCCCAAACGAGAGGCCATATGGTTGAGGGCCCCCCCTGGGGGAAGCGGGGGGGGGGGGGGGGATCGGCCCGGCGGCCCGAAAGCAGACCTGATTTCCCGCAGGAAGACCGGCGAATGTCCATGCATGAAGGAGTGTCAGCATGGCATGAGCGGCTCACACCGCGGCCGGCTCCCTATGTCCAGGTGGCCTTTGCGTGCGCCGCGCTAACGTCTCCCGGAACCGCACCGGCTCTTTCTTCTTCTTCTTTTTTTTTTTTGTCCCCTCCCCCCGGGGGAGGATATCGGCGGAGAAGGTCAAAGGAGGTCGCCGGTCGCGCAGCGATCCCACGCCCCCGGGCTTCCGCGAGCGCCGGTCCCGACGCCGCACCCCGCAAGGCCCACGATCTCCCTTTAGTCCCCGGGGGCGGGACCGGGAACGATGAGGAGGGCAAGGGGGGGGGGGGGGGGACAGCCCCCCCGTCTGGGGCCCGGGAAAGGGTCGCAGATCGAAAGAACCATGCCCCGACCGGGGTGAGCCGCCCCGTTCGGCCCGAAGAATCCCCCCTGCCCCCCCCCCCCCCGGAACGAGGGAAGAAACACCGTATGCCCACACGCGCGTACATTTGGGACATCCAATCGGGCGCCCGGTAAAATCCCACGGGTCGCTGGGCCGAATGGAGAGCTCCGCGGAGAGTATTCCAGCACGTGATATCGGTCCCACCGCGCACTCGTCCTTGGCGTGCCCCGCACGTGTACCTGCCCGCCATGCCAGCCTGCCTCGACCGCCTTGTCTCCCTCTCTCCCCCCTCCCCCCGGGGGGGGGGGGGGGGGAGCCCCACGCCAGTGGGCCGGGGCCCTCCTGCCTGGCGTGCTGCCTTTTTTTTAGACATATGGTGCGGCGAGAGGGGCGCGGCCGTCCGAGGACACAGGGCCCCGCAGCGGAACGGGGTGGCCCATTTTTTCCGGCCCCCATCTGGACCGGCATCGGTGCCCCTGCTCCCCGGTCACAGCAGGCATGCCACCCCCCTCTCGCACCGCCCCCGCCCCCGCCCCCGCCCCCGCCCCCGCCCCCGCCCCCGCCCCCTCCATCGCGCTGCTCGCATCGCACCTTCCACCCTCCCCTTGAACCAGACAGTCCGGGTCCCCTGTCCCAGCGCGCACGACCATGCTCTCCACTGCCCGGTCCCTTGTTGCCGGCACCGCCGCCCGTGCCGTGGCCGCCTCCAGTGCGGCCGGCGCCCCCTTGGCCCGTGCGCACTTCAGCGTTGCCCCGGCCAGCGAGGCCTTCTTCCAGGGGAAGGCCGTGCCGCTGGACTTCCACCGGCAGGACCCGCCGGCGGACAATGTCCGCTTGTTCAAGTCCCCGATCATCATCCTGCCCGGGCTGCTCGGGTCGCGGCAGAACTGGCGCTCGATGAGCAAGCTGCTGGCCTCGCGCACCGGGCGCACGGTCTTCTCGCTGGACATGCGCAACCATGGCAGCAGCCCCTGGTCGGCGCCCGAGCATGCTGGCTACGACTACATGGCCGCCGACATTGCGGCCTTCGTGACCGAGCACCTGTCCGAGTTCGACCGAGACTTCGTGCTGCTGGGCCACTCCATGGTGCGCGCCGTTGGAGGGCTTCCCCTTCTTTTTTTTCCCCCCTGTCTGCACGGCTCCTCAGCCCCGCCTGCCCACACCGTCCGCCCGACTGCCTGTGTCTCACATGGAAGCCTTCGCCCCGGTCCTTCCTCCGCCCCCCCCCCTCCTGCCACTTTGCTCGCGGCACTTGCAGGGCGGCAAGACCGTCATGCACTATGCCCTGAATGCCCCATTCGATCTGCAGCCCGGGCGCATCGTCGTGGCGGACATCCTGCCTGAGCAGTCGCCGAATGCCTCCTTCTCGGAGATCCTCCAGGCCATGATCACCACGGAGGAGCGCCGCGTCGGGACCCGGCCCGAGGCCGAGCAGATCCTGGCCGACATGGGGGTGACCAATGAGCGCGTGCGGGCCTTCGTCGGGACCAACCTGGTGAAGGGCCAGCTGCCGGAGGCCCTGGCCGCGGCGCTGCCCGGGCACACGGACGAGCAGTTCTACTTCCGGTGCAACACCCGCGCCCTGCAGGCGGCCCTCGGGGAGATCATGGCCGTGCCGGCATACAGCCCGGACCAGGTGTACTCCGGCCGGAGTCTCTTTGTCGGCGGCCGCAAGGCGGACTACGTGCCGGATGACCCGTCCCGGGTGGCGGCCACCCTGGCCGGGCACTTTGGGCCCTTCGTCGAGGACCCGGCCGACCCGGACGCCAAGGAGGGCTGGAGCCTGCGCATGCTGGACACCGGCCACTGGATCCACGCCGACGACCCGTGGGGCTTCACCCACCAGGTCGAGGCGTTCCTCGACAACGCGGCATAGGCCCGCGGGCCGATGCCTGAGCCCGGCTCTTGCTTTTTTTCTTTTTTCTTTTTTCCCCCCTCTGTGCGTGCGTGCGTGCGTGCGTGTGTGTGCGTGCGTGCACGCGCCCACGGATCGCCCCGCCTCCCCCTCCTCCTCCCGGCGCCGGGAGAGGCCCCCCCCCCCCCCCCCCCCCCCGGCACAAATAGACAACCCACCAAAAGGGCTTCGTGCTGTGCTTTCTGCGGTCCACCCCAACCGGAACGTTGGCACTTGAGGAGGGAGCGATCTCGCGGGCCACATCGGCCGCCGGTGTGCCGCACCGTCCCCAAGCGCACACCTGCCTTGCCCCCCCCCCCCCCCCTCCCTCCCCCTCCCTCTGCTGCCTCGAGTTCTCTCAACGCGTGGCGGTGCATTTTCTTGGTCCCCCTGCTCTTGGCGTCGACCGTGTCCCTTCCTCTTCGCGGAACCCTTCCCGGTCGCCTCCTGGTGCCCCCGGCTGCGCTTGACCATGGCAAGGCGATTCCCCTGTAGCCACATTGAAACGTGCGTCGCTCCCTGATCATGCCCCCATCCTATCACCGCCCAGTCCAGCTGGCCAGCGGCCCTCCTGGCTGTGGGCCTCCCTCTCGCCCATGTCTGACACCGTGGCAAATGGACACATGTGGTGGTCAGCATCATCGGCGCCCGACGGGCCGACATCCAGGAGCTTGTGTTCTCGGTCGGCGTCGGGGCATCGACCCATCGCAAGGAGGAGCTGGTCCGCATCCTGGGCATGGTGGCCGCGGCGCAGCATGGCGCCGAGCCGACGGCGGACACCGACGGCCGCCCGGTCTTTGGGGCTCCGGTGCCGGCATTTCTCCGCCCCACTGGGCAGACCATCCTCAGCATCGATGTCGGGCTGCGGAACATGGCCCTGGCGCTGATCGAGGCCCGGCGGCCGGCACTGGCCGAGGCGGCCGCGAGGCCCCTGCTGCCGCCCTTGCGTCTGCTCGAGTGGATGGTCATCCCGGTGGACGGGCTGCCGGATGCCTTCAACCTGCCGCAGTATGCCCGCGCGGTCAGCGACTTCGTGGATCAGCGCCTGCCCTTGGCCGATGTGAATGTCCTGGAACGGCAGATGCGAGTATTCGCCAGTAACTCCTCCATCGGCGACTCGATCAACATCATCTCCGGGCAGCTGCAGGTGGCCCTCCTGCGTCGGGTCATGCCCCTGGCTCCGGCGAGGGATCCCTTCTTCTGTGGTCTGGCTTCGGCCGAGGCCAATCCGAAGCTGGTGGCCGGCATCTTCGACCTGGCGCAGGGCTATAGTCGCAAGAAGAATAGCTCCATGCGCCTGGTGGAAAGGTTGCTGGCGGCCCCGGACTCCAGCCTGGCCCTTCCCGGGGGCACTGGCATCAGCGCGGACAACCGCCTGGCGATGACGGCCACCGATGCCGATGGCCAGGGCTTTTGGCCGCTGGCGCGTACGCTCCATGTGCCGGAGCACCTGGCGGCGCGCTTTCACGCCGCCCAAAAGAAGGACGACATGAGTGATGCCCTGCTGCAGGCGGTGGCCACGGCCCTCTGGCGAGACCAGGCCCTGTACAATGTCGGCCGAGTTCTGGGCTGCCGATGTGACCCCCGGTCGGGGGAGGAATGCTGCCTGCTGGTGCCCAGCTCGGTGGAGGATGCGCTGCCGCCGGGTTCCGATCCGCATGGCGCCGACGAGGGTGCTGCCGCGCCGGCCAAAGCTCCGGCCACTCGTGGCCGCGCGAGCCGCGCCGCAAAGCCCAAGGCCAAGCAGGCCGCAGATGTCGATGCCGAGTCGCAGGCCGACACGACGCCCAAGCCCCCGCGCAAGTCTAAGGCCAAGTCCACGGTCAAATCGCCGGCCGACGATCCTGGCAGCCTGCCCGAAGCCCAGCCATCGCACGCGGCCACGGAAGAGGCCCCGGCCCCGGCCCGGCAGACCCGGCGCCCCCGCAAGAAGGCCACCTCGGCCGCGGCAACCGAATAGACTTGCGGGATCTGCTCTGCCTTCAGACGCGGGAGGGGGGGGGGGGGGAATGGGGGCACAGTCATGCGCGCGTGCAAGTACACTTACACATGCATTGATTGCCCTGGGAGAGGGCCTGTGCCCGTGCGGGAGCCACCATAGGAGGGAGGGCGCGCCGGGGGGGGGGACCGGCCAGGCGATTCGTATGTGCGTGTGTGTATGCTGTCCTGCCCCGACGCTCTGGACCAGCCCGGCGAAGGTATCGTGGGAATGTGCACGGGTGCCAACGTACCTGAACGCGCGCCATTTCCGCCCCGCCGGCCTCACGCGGGGGGGGGGGCGGGGTGGCGCGCACAACGAGGACCGAGAAGGAGGGGCGTGTGTCCGCTGGAGTCTCAACCGGGGAAGGGGGGGGCCGGGCCGGGTCGGGCCGGCACCCAGGGCCGCACGACGAACATGGGCACCTTCAAGCGGCGAGGTGGCCCGGCCGGGGGAGGCTCCGACACATCGCCAGAGGGTGGGGAGCGCAGCTGGGGACAATAACACGGCGCGGGGACGGGAGGGCCGGATCGGCGCCGGACTCCGGGCGCGAACTTGCCCCCCTCGCCCGGGGGGCACGCATTCGCGTTCGCGCTCGCATTCGCAGACCCAACCTCCCCTTTCGCGCTCCCCTCGCCCTGCGCAGGGTGGGACTGTAAGCGGGAGCGGGATGGGCCGGAAAATGCGCGCCTGCCCGCGCCCCGGCCCCATCGCACGCGCAACAGCGGCGACCGCCCTCAAGCGCCAGGGGAGCCGGCCTGGACGGACACCGGGCCAAGGTCGGGCCGTGTGTGTGTGTGTGTGTTTGTGCGTGCGGCCGCGCGCACCTGGGAGCGGTGGGCCCCGAGGCACGCACCAAAAGAGGGGGAGCAAGCAGCGGCGCGCTCATGCGCCGCGTGTTTCATTTGGATCGCGCGGGCGCCCCGGCTCCACGGCCGGGCCGGGCCGGGCCAGGCCGGCCTGGGCCGGGCCGAGCTGGCCAGGGTACCCGCCCGTGAGCGGGTACCTGCCTCTGGACCTTCAAATACGGGGGCAGGACCCATATGAGCTCGCTCCAGCCCCCCTCGGGGGCCGCGAGGAGCAGCCAGGGGAGGGGGCCGGTAAATGGCCCATGTTGCCAGGGTCCCAGGCGGCCGGGCGGAGGGCGGTCGCGCGCAACGGCACCGGTATCCTGTTTCAGGTGCGGAATACCGTGCAGAGGGCGGGCGTCGGCCCGCGGCCAAGTCGGTGCGTGGGTGTGTTGCCGGGGGCGGACCGCGAACCGTGCGCGGGGGCGGGGCGGGCGCCGTGCCGGGAAGGGCCGCCGCATTCCAATTTATTCGCGCTCGAATCACTGGGAGCGGCGGTGCAAGCCCGGCGCAGAGCAGGGGGGCCGCGACGCGACAGTCGTGACTTCGGACCGACACGGCGCCCGCTTCAGGGGGGCCCAGCCGGCTCGGGGAGGGGCCGAGGGCAACCGCCGCCCAACGGCCACCCCCTGGCCGGGCCTCGTATACGGACGAGGGCTGATCGCGCCCGGCAGGGACGGTTTTTGGGTGGCTGGCCGCCTCTTCGGGTGGCCGCGGTGCCCCGATCCCTCTCTGCCCATTTCGCGCCCACGTGCATACACCTCCTCCTCCCCCTCCTCTCCCCCCCCCTCCACACACACACACACACACACACACACACACGCACACGCACGCGCGCGCACAGACGGCCGGCCTCCCTCTGCCTCCTCCCCTGACGCGCCATGAAGTCCGCCCTCGCGCGGAAGAATGTCTTCCACACGTCGGCCGACGGTCAGGCCGTGGCGGTGGCGCCGCTGACCATTTCCACGAGCGGCATGGCACCGACGCTGCGCTCGGTCCAGGCGGTCTACCGACAGAAGGGAGCCATCCGGCAGAGCGCCCCCCAGAAACACTGGCTGTTGAATGGCCGCCCGGGGCAGATCTGGTCGGTGAATGTCAGCATGACCCACACGTCGGCCACGCTGGTCAGCCACCAGGTATGTGGCCTGGTGGCCCTCCGGCGCGGCGGCACTCCCCCTTCGCCCTGCCCTGTCCTCTTCCTGTCGACGCTCACACGCACGCACACACACACATGTGCACGGGCACGCCCATGGATGTGCCTCAATGCATACACCCACAGGCCGGCGACATTAGCTCGGTTCCCGCGCTGGCGCCCGTCCGGCAGTACACCCGGCGATCGGTGGCCGTGCGCCTGCTCCCGGGCGGCACGCGCGCGCGCGTCACCCAGTACGAGCCGTCGGCCTTCTGCCTGCTGACCGGTGCCCCCCAGGATCGCGACGACTACGATTGCGAGATCTCATTCATTGTACGTCCAGACGCGCCCGACATCGGGGGGGGGGGGGGGGGGGTGCACACAAGCTGCCAAGGGGCCAGCCCCGCCGCTGACCATGGCGCCCTTGCCCCACGCAGGTTGACGTGCGGACCTGCCAGTTCCTGCGCCTGCACAACTCGGACGCCTCGCTGCAGGCCTCGGTCGCCAAGCGCGTGGCCCGACTGCGCGATCGCCTCACCCAGGCCACCCCGGCCGATGGCGCCGAGGACTACCTCAGCATGCCGACCATCAACACCGAGCACATCCTCGAGGAGAGTACGTGCCAGCCGGCCGACCGTGACTCTCGCCCGGCCCAAATGCCCCGGCACTGACACATCCCGATTGCCTCCCTGCCGACGCCTCGCTCGTGCTCGTGGGGCCGGCGTCGAAGTTGAACGCGACGCGCGCGCGCTCTGGAACTACCTCTGCGCGACGTGGCTCAGCCCGGACACGCTGACCCCCAAGCACGATGCCAATGTCGGGTACATGCCGCCCGACGGGCGGAAGTCCCTCTACGCGCGCTTGGCCCTCAACTCCGACAAGGCAGTTTGCTCGCACCGGATTGCGCACGAGCTGTCGCGCATCGAGAGTGGCAAGCTGGCTGGCGCCGGGGCCTCCACCGGGTCCGACACGCCCCCCAGCAGCCCGGCCACCCCGCTGACGGCCACCATCAATGTCACCAGCTCCAGCTGGTCCCAGGTGACCGAGGGCTATCTGGAGGAGAATACCCTCCTGCCGCTGGCGGTGGAGGTCCGTGACACGGTCAAGGCCGAGTTCACGCAGCATGTCCGCCTTCGGCCGGGGGCCGGGCCCAGCGACTCGAAGATGACCCTGTCTGGCAGCCCGCCCATGTTCTTTGTGTCCTTCCATGCGACACGCTACTGGCTGGACTGGTCGGACGCGCACTACAGCACCAAGTACGTGCTTGGTCTTTGGGGCAATTTAACCAGCGCCTTTCAGGGATGGGAGGGGGGGGG